AGGTGAGTTTTGCTCAGATTAAAGAGAGATTTGACTGCAAGCTTGATTTATGATAATTAAAGGAAAAACAAGTTGGACAGGATGCTGAAGAGAAAATTGAGGCCTTGGTAATACATGCAAACAGGGAGAAGCTACTGTTGTTGTTCATCTTAGCGCTTTGTTTTCCAGCAGCAGAAGCTGTTGTGTTTTGCCTCCTCCAAACAGGAACTAATAATGATCTACCGGATGGACTAGTAAGAAGAAAGTCTTGCTTTTGTTGAAGTAATTTTTTTTCTTTCCTAATAAGGAAGATCTTTTTGGAAACATTTGGCATCTTGTTTCCCCCTTTCCTCTCAGATACATGAAGCGTCCTGAACGGAATGCTGCTTGGTGTCCAGGGTGCTCAGTTGCTCCACCTGTTTTGAAGACAGGTAGAATAGCATGCTCAAAATGGGAAAATGGCTGGTCTCAGGCAAGCGGAAGTGAAAAACTGACATTGATGCGCAAGCAAGCTACACTAACCTTTAAACTAAGGCTGGGCTGCTTTTCCCTCAAGTCCCCTCTGTGCTGAGGGGAAGTGCTATAACAGTATTATCAAGGCAATCTCCATTCACGCTTGCTCTGCTGGACCATCACAAAGCAGCTGAAACGGGCTGGCACATTCAGCCTTCGGAGGTTATTGCCCACTTGGCTGCGCAGGGCTCTGTAACGCCGTACTTGAAAAAGCAAACAAAATTCAAAGATGGAGTTCAAGTGAGCTGGTCTGTTCTCAGTATTTTTATGCAAACTGTTTATTACCGTGCCACATCTACTGAGCTATTTTGCATAATAAACCTCTGAAAATGTAACCCAACTCCACTACCGTATGAGGATTAGACATGGTAATACCTCTCTTCAGCCACTTCTGAGGATTAGCTTCAAAAATCAAATTAAAATGAAGCAAACCTAAATAGACTGGGTAGTTCCACAATAAGTTGCAAAGCCCATATTCAGTAACCATCATCTGTGCCTCTTGCATTTTATATTACTATATGAGGTATCTGTGCAAGTAGCGTTATAGTACACCTGCTGCATATGCTAAAGGTGAGAAGCTCTTTGTCTCTTCTTAAGGTTACGAGGCCTTACTTGCCTGAGTATTACTACTGAAGTAAAAAAATCTATTTATTTGTTTCCAAACACTGAGGGGAAAATACGTGATTTTTACCTCACAATTTGAGGAACAAGAGATGAGGGTGAGAAATATAACGTTCTCCAAGCAGGACTGTGTGCTGTGACTTGCAGAAATGGCCACAGAACTGTGAGTATGCATCTTGGTTTTCATTCCTACACAAGTCGTTATTTTTTATTCTTTTTCTCAAGTGTATTTAAAGGTAAGTATTTAAATTGACGTGTTTGTTTAAAAAAAAAAAATGACCAGTAAGTGTAATAAAGTGTTTGTCTAAACAGGTATACTAAAACAAAATATGCAAACCTGTTTCTGAGCAATGGCTATAAACAGGAGCTATCCAATACATTTTAAATTCTATTTGGGGTCAAATGCTAACAGAGATATTGATTTTAACATGTAACAGTTGAAAGGCACACAAACAAAACTTGATTTACCAGATTAACAATTCCTGTTGTCTTAAATTAGCAGGGAAAATTACACACTGCCAACAGTATGTTTGTGCTGTTCTTAATTCCTTTCATTATACAGTAAAATGCGAACCGCAAGCCAGATCAAAACTCTTAGTACAGAGTCATATTAGAGGTCATTAATCTCAAATAATAATTAAAAATGTAGAACTGGTACTGTTCAGTACCTAAATCTCCTGAGATGACAAACAATAATGAAAAAGTTCAGGAAGTTTGTAAGCAATTTACAAGGCAGAGGAAGACGTCTGTGACAGAAAGGTAGACATGCTGGTGAGTTGGAGCAGTTTAACAGCATCGTAATCCGAAGCAGGCAAGGAACAGCAAGGTATTTTTCAGCAATAGTCTTGATTAAGATAAGAAATTAATGAAATAGTTTGGGACTACACTTCCTGAATATGCTGTTCAGTACAATTAAAATAGTAAGCAGAAAATGAAGACTACACAAGGAAGTTGCTAGGAATGGTTTAGGTGATCACAGAAAGATAACTGGACTTCACAGGTACAAGGCATTGTTTTCTCTCTAGCCTGTACATGATACGAATGCTAAAAAACTATGGCAGTCCTACCACAGTACTATTTTTAAAATAATAAAAAAGAGCATTGCTCCCCTAATGCACTGATGGTTATTCTCAAGCTTCATACTGAAAACTTTGTTACACAATCAGGTTTTCTGAATATGCTGCCTTCGCCAGACAAGTAATAATTAGCATCCTAGATAGCAAGAAAACTAACAGTAGTGCAATAAAGGCACTATAATGAATGCAAACTCGGTTCGGTGCAATAGATTTAGCTAATTACATATCCATACTCCCTGGACAGCAAATGCCACGTTTATTAACACGATATATCCCCTCATTACAGCAGAAAGGCAGTCTGGCAATCTTTCGCTGCTTGTTACTTCATGGAAGCGGAGTAGGAGTCCTTCCCCACGTACACAACTATGCATAAATCTACACAATTTATTACTACCAGAAAAAAAGAGTCTAGCCGAGAGTGATTTCTTGACCTGTGCTGCACAGAATAAAAAGCCTCCAAGGAGCGGGAAGCGTCGCAAAAGGTATCACTGCAAATTAAAAAATTATTTGATGACCCTGGCCCCTGCGCTGACAGTGTGTTACTGTATCTTCCCTTCGGTGCTGTTTTTTCCCTATACCGATAAACTCGGGTTGCTTTAGTTGCACGTGCCGATACACTGGTAAAACAAAGTTTCCAGGCCCATTACTCTCGCACCAGGCCTGCACTCCTTGTTGATGCTGCTCCTCTCCCGGGCAAGGGCAGACTTTTAGCTGTATCACTAGCACCATAGCGATAGGTGCAAACCCCTTTGCTTGAGGGCCCCCACTCCCCCGTCGAGGCGCCCTCCTTGCTCCGCTTCCAGGCGCTCCGCGTCCCGCCGAGCCCCGCGGCAGCACAGGGCGTGAAAGCGTTGGCGTTATTTCTTCGAGGCGGAAGAACGTCGACCTCGCCGCGCCGCCGCTCGAACTAGTCCCCGGCCGTCCGCCGCGCCGCCACACGGACGCTCGAACAGGCGAGGGAACAAGGGCCGTGGGGGTCGGAAAGC